TACCAACTTCTTCAATCTGAAATTGATCAAACATGCAATCAAGATGTATTGATCATTACTGGTGATTGGAATGCAAAGGTTGGGAGCAAAGATCAAGGATCAGTAGTTGGAAAATATGTCTTTGTTGATAGAAATGATGCTGGAGATAACATGATAGAATGATTTGTTCATTTCAAATACCTTCTAAGAGACAACTATACACATGGACCTCACCAGATGGAATACATAGAAATCAAATTGACTACATCTGCGCAAAGAGACGATGGAAAAGGCAGACTGTGGAACAGACCATCAATTACTCGTATGCAAATTCAAAGTGTAGCTAAAGAGAATGAAAAATATCTATCTACCTACATATTAAATGGAGTCTGGTGTGGTACCATAGGAAGTACTCGACCTGAAGGTTGGTTTGAACTGTAAGGTTGCAGTTCAAACTCACCAGCTGCTCCTTGGAAACCCTTTACAGGTTCACTATGAGCCAGAACCAACTCAGTGGCACTTAATAACAGCAAACATATTAATCAGTTACATATTTGTATTTGCTTGTATGTGTATAAGGCATCTTAGGAAGGATATACAGCAAAAGTAGTTGTCTGAGGGGGAGCAAACTAAATTACTGGGAATATTCCTTCTATACTTAAAGAAAGAATCTTCTGAATCTATTTTGGATTCAAAATTTTAATTAAAAACAAAAACAAAGTAAGGTGCTGTAATTATGAATGAAAATATGAATTACAAATGCAGTGATTAAACCAAAACACAGGTAATCATACTTGGTGGATGAGCAAAACTAACTGAGGGCCTGCAAATTCAAACGCCAGCACTGTTGCTCTGGCCAGGGCATTTGCTTTTCATCTGTTTATTCAGCTATTGAACTTTTGTTGAGGGCCTGCTGTGTGCCAGGCATTGGGGGCACAAAGAGGAAAGGTCCATTTGTAAGAGGCTCACTGACTTGTGGGGAGATGACCAGAAATCTCATGGCTGCACTGCAGTGTGATAAATGGGACTGATTATGACAGGTTCCTGCAGGACCTCCTGGGAGGTGAAACTAAATTAGGCTGGGGAGGGCTTGTTTACCACTGGACATGGTGCTAACTAAATCTTGCAGAGAAAGGGTGAGAGAACAGTTCCAAGCAGAGGAACCAGCATGTGGTGGCGAAGAAGGAGTTTGGTGTGGCTGCAGACTGGGCGTGTATGGACAGGGCAGATCTATGTTGCAGTGTGGGTTTTCAAAACAATGCAGTCGTTCAATTTTTCTATTTGTGAAATAAACACATCTTTGATGCCAGGATTATAATCTGAAAGCCAATGAGGACACATTAAAGCATTTCAAACAAATCAGTGATGAGACAGAGCCGTATTTAGAAAGCACACTGGAGGCAGGATAGGATTATAGGAATGGTGGGGGCAGGGTGAGCAGTAAGGAAACAGTTAAAAACACAAACCATAGTGTTGAAGCAAGAGTATGAGAGACAGTTTCTCTGAGAATTTGGGGTGTAGGTCCTGAAGTCACAACTGTAATCCTAACTCCTTCCATTTTACCATCTGAGCATAAGTTTCTTCAACTGTAACTGGGGCTGGATTGTTGTTGTGAAGTGCCATTGAGTAGATTCCAACCCATAGCAACCCTGTATAGGGTTTCCGAGGAGCAGCTGGTAAGCTTGAACTGCCGACTTTTGCAGTTCAAACGGCTGTGTAGTGTGGCACATTACCCCATAGCACCACACCAGGACTCCAGGGGCTGGATTGTTGTTGTTGTTGTTAAGTGCCATCGAGTTGCTTCCAACCCATAGTGACCCTGTGTAGGGTTTCCGAGGAGCGACTGGTGAGCTTGAACCGCTGTCCCTGCAGTTCAGCCGGCTTTGCAGTCTGGCGCATTAACCCACAGCGCCACACCAGGACTCCACTGTAGACGATAAGTTTATAAAAATTATCATAAAATTTCCCACTAAGAATTCTGCAGTTTTCTAATCACCATAAATCAATTCTTATCCCACTTCCTTAGCAATTACCACCTTCCACCATACTGTGTTTTGTTAGTTTGTTAAGTGTCGTTGTTGTTTTGAACTCATAGTGACCCTGTATAGGGTTTATGAGGAGTGACTGGTGGGTTTGAACCACTGACCTTGCGGTTAGCAGTCCAGTACTTATCCTACAGTGCCATACTCGGATTCCTCCAACATACTATATTCTTTGCTTACTTCTCATGTTATTGTCTGTCTTCTGCACTATACTGGAACAGAGCAGGAAACCTTTGATTTGCTCATGGATATATCCCAAATGCCCAGAAGTGCCAGGCACATATTAGGTAGTAAATCCAAACCATATCCACGGCCATTGAGCTGATTCCAACTCATAGTGACTATGTAGGAAAGGGTAGAACTGCCTTCTAGAGTTTCCCAATCTTTAAATCTTTACAGAAGAGTGTCACGTCTTCTGTGGCTGGTGGGTTCGAACTGCCAACCTTTTGTTAGCAGTCAAACTCTTTAACCACTGTGCCACCAGGGCTCCTTAGGTGGTTAAGTGGTTGCTCAAATACTGGTTTAATGAATGAATCATGATGATGCTATGTCATTCTGGGAAGTATCAGTCATAATTCTCCAAGCCTGAAGAGAAGAACTGAAATGTTACTAAGGGGGGTGTGGGGGGTGGGGGTAGGAATAGCTGCACTAGAATAAAGAAGCATGGCAATATTGTTTGAATACTTGTAAAAAACATCCTTTTGTTGACAGAGTAATTCCCTTCTTCTAGTTTTAAGTACCTATTTTCTTTTGTGAAACACCACTCTTCTCTGAACTTGTCCCTGTGCTTTTAGGAGTGGGTCAACCAGTATATTTCACTCCCTGGCCATGGCATTTAGGCATGGTCATATGACGCAAGTTGGACCAATGAGATTCCGTTTTGGAATGACCTGGGAAAGAGAAGCTGGTAGCCATCTTGCTACCATGAGGAAATAGCTTATGTGAGGGGAAGCAGCATTCAGCCACAGAGCGAGACAGATTTCAAGCAAATACATGACTCTTAGTTAAAGGAGTTGGGGTAACCCAGAGAAAGTGTGACCTGAGAACTCTGGATTAGTGAAGGTTAGATAGGTGACCCTTGTAACCTATGCAGTCCCTGCCATCTACAACACTAGATAGCACCATTTTCATGTATTTGGGATCTCCTCTCATGTTTCTGTCTTTTCTAGTCATTTCCTACCAAGGGCTTGGACACTTTCCTCCAGGGCAGTCCCTAGGACCTGACTCTGTTCCTGGTTAGTTTCTTTGACTCCACCGCCATTTACTTCCAGCTCAGTAATCGCCAAGAGGTGCAAAGAATGGAGAGAAAGAAGGCCCTAAACCAGAGGGCTGTGGGATGAAAGGGCTGGATCAATTCATGCAGCATTTATCAAGCACCTTGTGTGTTAGCTGCTGTGGTAGAAGTGGGTATTGCAAAGTTGGACAAATGATACCTTCCCCAGAGGAGCTCTTAGTGCCTTGACTAGAAATGAAGCTGAGCTTGGGAGATTAATGGACTCTCATGAGAATAGAAAACAAGGTTGGACACCCAAAAGAGGATTTGCAATTGACTTCAAAATAGTTAACTAAGGAAGTAATTCCTCTCTATAGCAGTAAAATCAGTTCTACCAAGTTACAGTAGTAGAAAAGTAACAATTATTTTACCTACTGTCAAGAAAAACTGAATTACATTTGCTTGTTTTATGGGGTAATTCAAGGTTATCCTTTTTCTTTTTTGCGCTCTGTTCCCCACAAACCAAACCAAGCACCCAACTGATTTGTCCCCGATGGCTGGCTGTGATTACTGCCCTAATTTGTCCTTTCTTCATCTGCTACAAACTGCCTATTTTCTGTCGTTTCTGATAAAGCGGGAGCTCTGAGGGACTTCTGAAGCTGTTTTGTACCCTACAGAAGTGTATTAACTGGAATTCCTGTGTATGTGTCTATAAAACCCCTCGTCTTCTCAGTGTGAGATCACCTTCAGGAACGGCGTCATGTCGATGTGCAGCTTGCGTGTGTAAAATTCTTTTCCGTTTGAACATATCAGCCCTTTATTTATACAACTTTGAGGCTCTCCTGTCTTCTGAGTTGCTGCCTCCAAGGACTGCTGGGTTCCCTGTGAAGAGAAACAGAAAGCCCAGCTTTCACTGGAATGATACACAGTGTGACAAATTCCCAAATATTTATAGAAAGCAATGTTTCATCTTTGAAACACTAATAATAACACCTATTTTTACCATTGGAGACCCAGGGGAGTTCTGTGTGTAGGGAATAACCTGAGAATGGTTATTAATTCCTGCCTGGGGTCTGTGCAGTGGGGGAGTGAAAAGGATGCTAAGGTTTTACACTATCTCATTTAATCCTCACAACAGGCTTGTGAAGCAGGTATTGCTTCCATTTCACAGATGAGGAGACTGAGTCTCTGGGAGGTTAAGCAATGTGTCAAAAGCCACACAGCTGAGAAATGGCAGGGCTAAAATCATCTGCTCAAGACTCATTTTTAATGATAGCCTTTTAAAAAGTTATACTTATCTAGTAGGTGGATGGAGTGGGGCCCAAATATTTAACACCCCGGGTAGCTAACTGAAAGGTTAGTAGTTTGAGTTCATCTAGAAGTGTCTTCAAAGAAAGTCCTTGTGATCTACTCCCAAAACATCAGCTCTACTCTGTAACACATGGGTCGGTCATCATGAGTCAGAATCGACTTGATAATAACTTTTCAAAATAGCTTCTATGAATGGTCACTACACTTGCCTCGCAGCAAATAAGGCGATAGCATGCTTCCAGTTTATTTCCAAGCTGAAAATGTACACGATGTGTTAAAAATAGTGACTTGAACAAATCTAGCAGAATGGGAAGAAGAATGATGAGGATTCTGGAGCACTGGGGGCTCTCCTCAACACTACGACATACATTTCAGAGCATGACAAAGTTAGGTCTGAAGTTGTCCTCCAGCCCACACACTGCACTGCAGCCAGGCAGGTCTGTTCATGCTGCCCATTTGACCACTCCTCTGCTTAAAGTCTTCAAAGACCATTGCCCTCTGGAGGAAGGTCAACCCATTGAAAAGGTTGACAAGGCTCTTCCTGCCAGGCCTGGACTATCTCTCCAGCTTCATTTAGTCATTTAACGAGTATTTATTGAATGCTTATTCTATCCCAGGTAGAGTGGATACAGCAGTGCTCAAAGCAGATGAAAATCTCCGACCCCCGTGACCAGTGTCTCATTCCACTGAGAGGGAAGACAGGATAAAGAAGAACATCAGTTATGTCTGAAGGTGATTTGTGATGTGGGAAAACATACAGCAGGAATGGGGGATAAGGAATAGCCTGGGTAGAGGTGGAGGCTGCAATTTTAAATAAAGCAGTCCAGGAAAGCTCCACAAGAACGTAACGTTTGAGCAAAGCTCTGAAGAAATAAGGGAAGGTTCTATGGGACTATGTGCGGGTTACCAGTGTTTAGCTAGCTGTGTGAGTAGCAAGTGTCAAGGCCTACCATTTCAATACTGGGAGCAAGGCTTTTCCCTCTGCTGGGAACACTCTCACCACTTCTGTTGCCTTCTAACTTCTCCTTGTCCTTCACTTGGCTCATCTGTGCCTACCCGGCCCCCCAGAGCATTGAGCTCTTCTCATCATTGCTCACATGATTGCTTAACTCTCCTCTCTATTAGACTGTGACCACGGCTGTCCTTGGAGGAAAATATTAAAAGCACCATTGTTGTTGTTGTTAAATGTCATTGAGTCCATTCTAACTCATAGTGACCCTGTATAGGGTTTCCGATGAGTGGGTGGTGGGTCTGAACCGCTGACTTTGTGGTTCAAACTGACCTTTTGGTTCAGTCCTTATCCTGCAGCACCACAGCATGACCACCAAAAGAACAAACAAATCTGTGTTGGAAGAAGTACAGCCAGAATGCTCCTTAGAAGCCAGGATAGCCAGACTTGTCTCTCATACTTTGGACATCTTATCAGGAGGGACCAGTCCCTGGAGAAGGACATCAAGCTTGGTAAAGTGGAGGGTCAACAAACAAGAGGAAGATCCCCGATGATATGGGTTGGCACAGTGGCAGCAGAAATGGGCTCAGGTGAAGCAATGATTGTGAGATTGATGCAGGACCAGGCAGTGCTTTATTCTGTTGTGCATAAGCTCACTATGAGTCGGTATGAGAAGGAATGATAGTGCATGTCACTCCCTCTCAGTGGAATGATACGCACTCGCTGTGGGGGTCAGGGATTTTCATCTGCTTTAAGCACCTAACAACAAATGACTGTCTTTTTCCTATTGCATCAACAGGGTCTGGAAACACATGCACACTTGAAACATACTTGTTGAACAGAAGAGTGAAAAACACACACTTGAGTGGCACTAGGGGCAAGCTCCATGTTCGGGGCTAAGTCAGTTTAAATGGGGAAGGGAGCAATGACGACTCCTTTACAGGAAGTGTGTGTTGCCCTCTAGAGTCCTGTCCTCTGCATTGCACTGGCTTCTCATTCTCAGACAATAAAAACTCAAACCCACTGTCTTTGAGTCCATTCTGACTCTTAGTCACCCTATTTGATACAGTAAAACTATTTCCATAGGGTTTCTGAGGCAGTATATCTGACTGGTGGGTTCAAACCTCCTTTCATTTAGCTGTTCAATTCTTAACCCATGGTGCCACCAGGGCTCCTTTCATTCTTGGAGAGAAGTGTTCTTTTTCAGGGCTGAGTTGCTGGAGTCGCATACATTAGTTTACCATGGCATCACCCTAGGTATGAATCATTTCCATATTTTCTAGGAGACTTATTCAGATGTTTGTCTCTCTGGACAGTCAGAAAGTCTCCATCCTGGTAACATTTATATTTTTAAGTATTAACAATGAGTTAAAAGTTGGGAAGTTCTTATAGGCAGCCATCACTCCAATAACCATCTATACCCTCTTCCTTTGCTTTAGAGTGTTGTTGTTAAGTGCTGCTGAATTGGTTCCAACTCATAGCAACCTGCATAGGGCTTCCTAGGAGTGGCTGATGGGTTTGAGCTGCCAACCTTGTGGTTAGCAGTCTAGTGCTTATTCTACAGTGCCACACTAGGAGACTCCATTTAGAATGTTTATTATTGTTAAGTGTTGTCAAATTGGTTCCAACTCATAGTGACTCTGTATAGGGTTTCCAAGGAGTGGCTGGTGAGTTTGAACCACCAACCTTGTGGTGTAAACTGACCTTTCAGTCCAGTGCTTATCCTACAGCACCCTACCAGGATTACATTTTCTGGACTAATATATATCTATTTTTTGTCATGTCAGCCATGTACTTGTATCTGATTAGCTTCTCAGAGTAAAATGGTTTGTCTCCATTTCTAGATCAAATGAAAGCACTTGGTTCAAATAGGAAACAAAGAGTTTCAAGCTTTCTAGCCTCCAAAATCATGCATGAATCACTGAATGTTATTGTTGTTAAGTGCCATCAAGTCGGTTCTGACCCATAGCGACCCTGTATAGGATTTCTGAGGCACGACTGGTGAACTTGAATCACTGACCTTGTAGTTCAAGCTGACTTTGCAGTCCAGTGCATTAACCCACAGTGCCATACCGGGATTCCTGAATACAATTAATAGAAATCAGACAATATTGACTTGAAGGAAATTTCTTCATTAGTTCCAAGAGAAGATTTTGTGTTTAGGTAGGGGACAAAAGACAAAACCAAGACCAGTTCCAAAGGTTAGAATTACCTTAACTCCTCATGTGGGGCTCATATTGAAAAAATTGGAGCTGAGAGACTCTGAGAAAAGTTCCTCCAAATCACTTTTGAGAAAAAAATTGTCTTGACTCATCTCCCTAATATTAAGGAACCACCAATTCTAGTTCGATGGAATGTTTCAGGTGAAGGTTTTATAGGTTCTAGAACGTGAAGTACTGAGTTTGCCTAGTATGTTCAAGTTTTCTAGCAAATAAATGATAATGAAAAGGGAGAGGGTAGGGTCTGGGAGATAGAAGGAAATTTTTTAAAAATTCAAACATATAAAGAGGATTCTGGAAGGTAGTGATAAGAGGAGAAAAAGAAAATTGAAACCAGAAAAAATGTCATGTGCTTGGGTGATTTTCATTTCTTTATTAAGCTGGTAGTTTTTGAGTATTTACTATGTGCAAGGCATACATGCATAGAAACATATGAGGTGATAGTTTTAGATCGTGATTAGTCTGTGAAGACAGTGAAATGGTGATAGCGTGGAGAGTGATGGAGGAGGGGTTGGGGACTTTACACTGGAAGGTCAGGGAAGATTTCTCTGAAGTGACATTTGAGCTGAGAGCTGGTGACAAGAAGGAGCCAGCCCTTATGGATCTATCTTTAGCAGTCAGTGTGACCTGTGTCTCTGTGGTTTGATTATTCAGAGGTGGAACCAGGCAGGGGTTCTTTGAAAAGGAAAGTTGAATTCCTGATTTCTAGGTCTGTTCTGCTTCAGTCCTCTCAGCTCCATCCTTGACCCTCTGAGCCATGAGCTGTCCCCTCTGTTTCCTGAGTGGTAGAGTCAGTATCACTGACACTGGCTGCCCTTGAGGTATGTTGAGAGCTAAGAAAGAAAAATCAACAGTGAACAAGAGCCAAGGTCTCTGAAGGCTTAGGAGAGAGAAGCAAATGCGACGTTAAATAGAAGGGAAGGAAAAAGCGGAACTAGAAGAAAGCAGTGGCTTCATATGCGGTGGCTCCACAGGATAAGCACTGAACTGTAAATCACAAGGTCAGCAGTTCGAACCCACCAGCTGCTCCATGGGAGAAAGATGAGGTTTTCTGTTTCCCAGAAGATTGAAAACCTCTGAAACCCTATACCAGGTCACTATGAGTCAGACTCTACGGCACTTAACAACATGAAGAAAGCAAAAATCTTGACATGTTCTTGTTTCTTATATGCACACCTTGGTGGGAGTTATGAAAGTGCTGATGGAGGTGTGAAATGTTTAGCTAAAAACCAAAACCCAATCCTTTACCTATATTGTACTGTAAATATTTTAGTATTTTTTGCATTTTGCTGAAAAAAAACTTTCTCTTCATCAAGTAAACAATAAAGATTAACGAGTTAATTTGGGAAAGCTGATTTGAATTGCACAGAAGGTATTACTTAAGTACTTGGCATTTTAAAAAG